ATAATGCTTGACTATAAATAATTTGGACTTCGCATTATATTCTCCACACTGAGAAAACATAGGATACAAAGCTCCATATATTTTCCCATAAATAGTTTTTTTAAAATGAAATAATAAAAAAAATAAAATATACATACTTTTAGTAGTACTAGTCGGGACAAATTCTGGAGCCAACTCAGTCAGCCGTTAGAGACTTTTCAGTCAACTCAGCTGTTAACTAAGTCGAAACTCTCATTTGAAATTAGCGAAACTTAATTGTATCTTAATATTTATCAAAAAATTTTAAAATTTAATTAATGTTGCAAAAAAATAGATAATTATAAGTTTCATCATAATAATGTTGACAAGAATCCCATTTTACTAAAAATTTGAAGTTTTTATTGGATTAAGAATTTCACAATATTCTGACTTTATATTAAATTTGGAATAGCAACTCAGTCATGGTTCAGTCATTGAAAATTCCGAAGTCAACTCTAAATGATTTTTGCAGAGTCGACTCAGCCGTCGACTTAGACTCCAATGGCTGGTACTACTACATACCTTATTAACATAGGTTCTATTTACTACTCTACTCACTTATTCATTTCTATCTCTATTAGGTAGTACTGCTTGTGAAGTTCAACTGAAACAACTTATAATTTATTTGAATTATTAAAAAAAAAAAATTCGTTTAAAAAGTCAACGAAAAAAAGAATATGAAAAGAATAAAAAAAAGATTATCATTTAAAAGAAATTTCAAATACCTCTTATTTTGAGTAATTAGTAATTTAGAAAAGATTATCATTTAAAAGAAATTTCAATTACCTGTTTGAGTAATTAGTAATTTATATTATTATTATTATCAGGGTCAAATATATCCAAAATAAAATTTACCTAACCAAGTATAATAAATGAGACTTTTATTAACGAAGTTTTTTATATAATGAATTTTATATTAAATTTAAGAATATAGCGAATTTTTTTCCTTCATTACTATTAAAGGAAATGTTACATTGTAAAATTTCAATAAAGTTTTAAATTAATAATTTAAAAAACTTCCATATATTTAATAAATTTCTATAGGGATTAATTAGTGTTAAACCTTGGGTTAATTAGTAGTGAACTTAGGGTTAATCAGTGTTGAATCAGTGGTAATTAATTCGTTGATTCAATTTATTTAAGTTTTATAATTCAAATTTTAATTGCGAAAACTGTGTAAATTTTGAAATTGCTAAAAAATTAGATCATTTATTTGACTTTATTGAATACATTAATCGCTAACATTTTCGATAAAATTTTATATAAGAAAAGTTTATCTCATTTTTATTTCATTAATTGTTCAATATTTATATTAACAATTTTTAAATCTTTCTAAATAACAAATTCCAAAAATGCCTACTACATTTGAATGGTCAGATGATGAAATGCAGCTTTTGATCAATTTAAGGAGAGAAAGGAATGAAGATTACTGGAGAAGGTTCAGAAGATCAAGGTTACCTTTTTGGAACAAGATTGCAATAACAATTCAAGAAAAATTTACAACAGCGTTCAATGGATTGCAGGTGAGGGAAAAATTTAAAGGGATGGTCAGGGATTGTAAAGTAAGTAAAATATTAGTAAACAAAAGAATAATAATATTTATCTTAATTGTATTTACAATAATATTTATTTTTAGTTATTTGAAAAGTACGCTGATGGGAACGAGAATGGAAGGTGGACTCATGTTGGAGAAGTTTTTGGGAATAATTCAAAACTCCATTTTGGAAGAAACCAGGTTGGAATAATAAAACTTTCCAATTAATATTTAATTGAAGAAAATCATTATTAAAATTAATTATTTATGTTATTTAGTATCACGTATATAAGAAAGAAGATGTGTGAGATTAGAAGAAAGATCTCAAGGTAAGAAATTTATTCAGTTAATATCAATATTATGTTAACCTAAATTTAAATTTAAATTTTTTAGGATCCTCTCAATCCTCTCAATCATCCTCTCTATCTGAAACTCAAAATAACCCTCCCCTTCAATCCTCTCAATCCTCTCAATCTGAAATCCAAATAACTTTCAATAATCTGTCTTTCCAACTATTGTCACTCCTTTTTTCAACTACCTTCATTCTTTTTTCATATTTCATAATTTTAACTAGTCTCTCTTTCTTTTATCTTTTCCATTATCTTCACTTATTCCTTTTTAATTGTTTTTTTTTATAATTTTTTTCCGAATTCTGTTAAAAAAAAAACTTGAACGAAATTTGTCACCTCTACGTTATGTGGAGTTCAAGATCAACAGTTATAGGTTAATCTATATCTGGCTAAGAGCAAGATATCCTTCGTAACTTTAATTCGTTAGTTATTTATTATTTATATTTATTTGTTTTACACTATTCCCCAAACTTATTATCATATACCAAATTTGGATATGATATATGGGAGCTTGTCAATAGAAAGGGAGGAAATCTAAAAAAAAAAAAGTTTTTGAGTTAATGTTAAATCTGGACTTATTTTACTAAAAAAATCATATTTAGCATATGAAGTGAAATTTTAATTTTTTTTAGATTTCCTCCTTTTCTATTGACAAGCTCCCATATATGAATTCCTCATATATCGGGATGCAATTGTTGCTCCAAAGATTTCAGATTCAATCCTAATACAGCCATATTGATTAATATATGGCAAAACAATGGTAAGATCTTCTTTTGATATTTCAAAAACTGCAGCTGCTATTGTTACAAATTTTCTATCGTATGCAATATTATAATATTGAACTAATAATTCATAAATATTATCTGGTAAAGATACGTATTCTTTTTTAGATAAAATATTTGTCCTAGAAATGGCTCATTACCGATAACGGTTTCATTAAGATGATGAAAGATTTATACGAATTGGTATAATTCTGTAAAATCCAATTCATCATAAGATGCTAAACTTCCAGCTGTCGGATGAGACTTTACCAATTCAAGAGCTTTTGCCAGTTTTAAACAATCCAATTGATTTAAAATTAATTCGTCTATTCTTTGATTTTGCACAATAATGTATAGAAGTTCTAATTCGATTTATCGCTTACTATTCAAAAGGATCCTATAAAGAAAAATTAAATAATTATTAATCATATATTTAATTATTTAATAATTTAATAACAATCAATATGAAATTTCACCTAAAACTCCATTCATTCTTTCAAACAAATAATACCAGAATGAATACAGAGGACCATAATCATGATAGCATTCAGTAATATGAAGTGAAAGGTGTATATTTGGTGTTATAAACTCTGGTCCATAGTTTTATTCAACTAAAGTGCTACTTGTAACAATTGGGCATGAGCTTCAGTCAATATATTGTTGTCAATTATTCGACATATAAGTAATGAGCAAGCTCTAACATAATTAACTAAAATTTCTCTATCCAGTTAATCCAAAAGATCCCATAATAATGGAGTCGCATATATTAAAATAAAGTCTTCTATTGATTAGCAGTAAAGCTGGAAAACCCTACTCTAGTTGAAATTTTATTTGGGATCCAATCCAAATCAGCGGGTAGGTTGATGATTTTTGCCTGTTCTTCCAATAATACAAGATTGATTTTGTTAGACTATAACCTTTTTACTATCCAATGAGCAATACCAAGAAAAAGGCAATGCATCGGATATATAATAAGATATCGAATCAGGTTAAAATAAGGCAGCCTTAACATTTCTGACTAACATACGTGTGTATCAGAAATATGCTGCTTTCTTTCATCTTTTGTTTCGCATTGCTGTCATCCTTCAGCATTTCTGAGATGTTCTTCAAGGTCTCATTCTTGAAACCAATCATTCATGTCTTCGAATCCACCAAAATTTAGTTTTCTACCTCCTGTATTTGCACATTTATAGCATTGATAGTAGCCGGTTAATGCTAATATATGACTGCACAATTTTCTAGCAGCTGGAATATTATTTGAGCAGCAAATGACAGCTAACCTAATTCTTTTTCCATTCAGAAATTTTGTTGAGATTGATATAACATATCCATTCTACAATTCTAATAATTCATCCACTATTAGGAAAAGGTAATGGTTTATCCAATGTAACTTTACCTTTTTGGGACCTGATAATAGTCCAAGTATCAATATATTTTCCTTTTTAAATTGAACTTCACGTGGAAGGTTACATATAATACCATATATAATGCCACAACTATATGCTAATGAATCGAATGGTTGGAACAAATCGAGATTTATCATAATTCCTAAATGGGAATCAGCAGTTTCCGATGTACAAAATCGCGAAGAATCAGGTGTGTCAATTTGTGATGAAAATGTTTTCCAAATTTCTACGTCATAAATATCAGTTATCAGTTCAGTATCATCCCGATTGGTCATTTTTTTAAAAGTGATTCAAATTCTGTTCGCTAATACATTGTAATCAATTGAGCTTTCAAAGATGACAAGGGAAAAATCATCTTTGGTTTTCTAATGTAACCTTTAACTATCAATATTTGTTTTGTTATTTCTGTTTTACAAGGTCTTCTCTGACCTTTTCTCAGATGATTTGGAAATTCCACATACTGTAGGTGCATTAAACCCATTATTTGACTGATCGTTCCCATTTTTTTGCAAAATTTCTGAAATTTTATATAATGTATTGCAATCTGGACATACTGCATATATCTTTACTTGTTTATCAATTCCTATTATTTTTTTGTTATATAAGAACTTGTAGGAAAGTCTTTAAAGTATGACCGATTAGCATCTAATAAAATCATATTAAAAACTTAATAAGTGAATCAATAGCAACGTCAGAAAGGTGAAATCTTGTTTGAAACTTGAATATCAATAACAATATCCACGGATTATTAAAATTAACATTTATGCTAGGATATTCATGATCTGATTCATTAAGATCATCAAAATCGGAAGCAGTAAATTATTCAAACAGAACATCATCTTTACTTAAACCACAATCATTATCACTAAACCCATGATCATCTTCTGTTGTAGACATATTATCAACTTCTTCTTCTTCTTCTTCTTCGATTAGTATTGGTTCTAATTTATCATAAATAGAATCACGAATTTATTATATCATTTTCGTTTCTTTTGTACATCAATTGGTTTCTCATCAATTAGAATTGGGTCATTACTAAAATAATCATCAGATGAATTTTGATATCAATCAACTGATTTGATTTTTCTTTTTCTTTCAAAGTTAATGATGTTCTTATATCGACTTTATTGCTTCTAATTCTTCTTAATCAGGTAGAATGCTGAGATTCAGAAGTAATAGCACAAAATTTTTCTAATTCTTGCTGATGTTTCCTAAATGTTCTAGGATTAACTAATTTACTATCACAGTAATGTAAAATACATTTGTATTCAACCAAATACCTAGTTTTAGGAGTATTATGATCTTTTGCAAAACCTTTATTATCAGATTTCATTGATCTTGACATATTTGTAGTTTTAGGAATAATGTTACAATCTTTCGTGTTATCTTTATAAAAATGATTTCTTTTTGATCTTGTCATATTTGTTGAAAAAATTTAGAGAAAGACAAAACATTTACCGATTTATATCGATAATTGGATCTTATTTATATATTTACAAAAAGTATATTTCCAATATGTATTATCATTAATTTTAACAATACTTTAATTTGTTAATAATATCACTGATTTGTATAATACAATAAGTCTAATATTCATGTATTATCAA